ACATATTATGCAATAATGGACTCCATTGTAGTTCACAATTCATTTAACTTCTAGAATTTGCTCTCTCTCTCTCTCTCTCTCTCTCTCTCTCTCTCAACAATAAATATATAAATCCCATATTTACAGCAAAATATCACCGATAAATTACATTCGTATTAAATATAATACAATAAACATGTTTTCAAGTGATGTATTAATTCAAATGATTATTGAATTAATGGATAAATTAGATAAAAGTTAAGAAATCGGTGATTAAAATAAGGCAAAACAATGAATAAAATCAAAACATAATGTTTAAGCGTTATAAATAATTTTTATATGTAAATTTTGACGCACTTATATATTATTTTTACACAAGGGGTGCACTTATATCCGGATACTTTAGGTGACATTAAAAATATGTGAAATTCACGTATACGTGCATGCACTTATATGCGGGGTAAAACGGTAATTGACTTACTCTAAATTTGTAATGTGGTTATGCGGTAATCACTTATCCATTGGTCAGTAAATTAATCAAATTAAAATATATTATTGCAGTATGTCCAATATGTACAGGGTTATTTAATATTTTAAAACTGTCGATAACATATAAATATTTATATAAAAACACAACACACTATAAATATATAAAAAAACATTTAAATGTCATTAAACACAACAAAAGTATATTAAAATTTCGATGCACCGTATATTAATAATAATTCAAATATTCATCGATAAATATTGGTGAAAATTTTCATAGTATATACACAAACAAACACAACAGTCATCAGTTCAAACGATAGAGAAAATTTTTAAAAAAAATAAAACATAAATGCCATTCAATTCTCGCGTACCCATAAACACATAACATGGTATGTATACTACAGAGTGTATGCACTCTCCACACAATTTTGTTAGTGAATGAGAGAGAGTGTGTGTTTTAAAAAAAATAAAACATAAATGCCATTCAATTCTCGCGTACCCATAAACACATAACATGGTATGTATACTACAGAGTGTATGCACTCTCCACACAATTTTGTTAGTGAATGAGAGAGAGTGTGTGTATGTTTGAGAGCGCTGTACATACAGTACCGCCGCATACGAACTGTGAGAGTGCAATAAACTTGGAGCTCACATCTCATACAGAGTTTATCAACACCAAGCGATGTCGCTCTCCCTATACACTCTCCCATACACTTCACAACACTCCCCCCGGTCTCTCTCACTCAAAGTTCATAGCACTCGGGAGAGCACCCGTGCGCATGCGTCAGTGTGCCAAACAATATTTGGTTGCTTGATTTTTTTGCTATTCACTGAACCTTTCTTATAATAATGTATACATGTATACACCGAGAGTGTGCTTTTTTCTATGTGTGCATAGATTCTCTATAGATATTTATACATAGTGTACTTATGTACAATATATATATATATATATAAAGTTGTTGCTATGTATGTGTATACTGTAAATGTGTGTGCACGATAGCAAGGAACTTTACTTAACGTTTAGAGTATATATATATTTTCAAATATACCGGCGCCAATGCACGGTGTATATTATATCAGGGTTATATATCTGTCACCCATACGCTTTCTTATTACGTGTGGTTACACGTATGTGTTTTTTGACATTGCCCGTTTTGTTAATTGGTAGTTTTAGTTAACTTGGTTAGTTAGTTTTTACATTAATCAGCTTGGTTATAAAATAAAACTTATATGATAGATTTTTTTTTATCACGATCAATTTATTGTAGTGGTATCTTTATTATGGTAATATTTGTTTGTGAATTATATGAGATTAAGCAAGCTTCAAACATTTTGACATTTAACTAGATTTTGTCAATTTAGTAAATGATGTTGTTGTTTATGAATTGCCAAACATTAATGAATGTCATTTTATCAAACCGAAAACATGCATCTACATAAAAACAAATTAAATACAGTGTATTTAATACACAGTAAAACAATTATTTGAGTGACACAAACAAATGTCGGGCAAAACACCAGGTATTTGGCAAAAAAACAGAATTTACAATAATTTTTAGTTTGTAAATCACCAGTTACAAAATATTTTAGCTAGTTATAAAATAACTAATAATTTGCACACAGCATAATAAACACCAATACAATCAACACAATTGATCATGGAGACTAGGCTTAAATACGCGGGCAAAGTAGTGCTCATTACGGGCGTGTCGGTCACCGACACCACCTCTATCGGCGCCAAAACGGCCATAGAGTTCGCCAAAGCGGGCGCCCTATTGGCCATAGCGTGCGACCAGTTATTGACAACAACTGGCCAATCGCTAGCCCCGTTGGCCGCCAAATGCCTGGCCGTTTCGGGCCCGCAACGGCTAACACCTCTACTAATCGGGGCCGACATTAGATCAGAAGTGGACTGTTTTCGTACCGTAGAGTCGACTGTACGCGAGTTGGGCCGACTCGACGTACTCGTCAACAATACGGACACCTACTGGGGGTCGACCCCCACCGGCGCGGCGCCGCCCGTGATTAACCATCCGGACTTTGTCCAGAATTACCATAATGTAATGCAGGCCAATCTCAACTCGTTTGTCTATTTAACTCATTATGCGCTAAAGTATTTAATGATTACCAATGGCTGTGTGGTTAATAACGCGAGTATCACGTCGATTGTGTCGGTAGGTTTGATCTAGGTACTGAGCGTATGTATGTAATTTGTACCATGGTTGTTTGTTTAGTCCACTGTTAACCCGCCGGACTGTATGGCCAAAAGTGCCCTAAATGTGTTCACCCGGTATATGGCCGGCCAATTGAGAGCGTTGGGCGTTCGCATTAATTCAATCAAGTTTGTTTTATAAATTATTATTATCATCATGATAATTATTTGCTTTTTAATTAATTAATTTAGTATTTAAAATTAATAATCTATCATAGTGATTTTTTTAATTTGCATTTTTTAATTAATTGTTTGTCATATGCAATATATGTATGATTTTTTAATTGCACATGATTATTTATTGCAAAAATAATCAATAATCTATCATGGGCGACATTTTTTTTAAAACTCTTTGATGTTAGAGAGGGGGAGGGGTGGAGATGGGATTTAATTACCATAATTATACACACAGTGTATACACTGTATGTTCATACCGGTGCGGAGGGGTTAATATTATATAGTAATGGGTTAGCATGAAAAAAGCATCTGTGCTTATGTATGTGTATGTATGTGTGTGGGGGTACGGGTGGGTTCAATAACCTCTAGCTAGATATAATAAACCAAGTTATTTAGTTACCAATAAACCATGTTATCGGATAATGAGTGGAGTTTATATATGTGTGTGTATGAGAGGGGACAGGTGTCCCAAACATGCACAATGTGTATGGCCTTAACCCTTGCCAATGACCTTTATAGATTTATCATTTTATTATTAATACCTACTATACATATCAAATTTTTAACCTGATAAAACACATTGTGGTAGTAGTAGTAAGTGTATAGAGATTAGTATTAGTTTTACCCTATTGTTTGTCACACACACACCCCCACCCACTCTAACCTACAGCCCCCTGATTAAGCAGTTTTATTGCACTATGGTGAGCGTCTTTTTACCATCATTGTTTACAATATGCGCTGTTGTGTTGTATATATTTATTGCTAGATTTACTATGTTTTTCTGTCTCTCCCTCTCGCTATGACTGATAACAATGTATATATCGCTTGAGTGAGTGAGAGAGTGGAGAGTGGAGAGAGAGAGAGAGAGAGAGAGAGAGAGTTAATAATAGTAACTCATAAGAATAGCATGCGATATAATCTCTATGGATAATCGTGTGTATAATTATTATTATATGAATTCAGATCTCGTTTTTTCTATGTTATATAATGTTTGATATATTTAGCATAAAAATTGTTTATAAATAAAATATGTTTTTTTGTTGATAAGTAATGTATTTTTAAAAAACAATTACGAGATGAAAGTGAATGAGAAAATAATAATCAAAGAGTTATATAATGAGGGTGAGAGAGAGAGAGAGAGAGAGAGAGAGTACCATTTGTTAACAACCCTTTTGTTACTGCGAGAGAGAGAGAGAGAGAGAGAGAGAGAGAGAGAGAGATTAAGGAGAGAGATTAAAAAGCTATTGACACCTTCATAGAATAGTAACTTAATTTATCGTATATAAGAAACAAACAACAAAAGTACATTTGTTTAATTTAGTGATATTTTATATTAGTTGGATTATTATGATAAAAAAGAGTAACATTTGCTCCAAACAATTTATTTAAAATAAATATAATAAATATCTCAATAAATAATTAAAATACAATATACTTTAGCTGATTAATAAACAAAAGCCAAAAATAAGTCAATATATTTTTATCAATTATATGCTGTAAACGTATAGAAATTAGTTAAATATTAGCCATCATCAAAAAAATTTATATTGATGCAGGGCAAATTAATTCTCATAATACTAAATACTAATTAACAATGTATAAATTAACTATATTTTAAAATAGCCCTGGCGGTTCGCAGACAAACGTGCATTTGTATACCAGCCCCGACGCTCTGGCAAACACCTATACCCACTGGCGTAATGTAATCAACACCAGCGACCAGTGCCAGGACATAGCCCGCGCCGTTCTCTACCTGGCCAGCGGCGAGGCCTGTCAGGTGACCGGGCTCAATTTTGTGGCCAACTGTTTGTGTAGTAAATGCTTTTCCGACGAGCTCAGGGCATTTTATCACCTTCATAGAAAGTGATTAAATGTATCTTGATAGTTTATTTTAGATGTTGTTTTTTCATAAGTTATTTATAAGTGTTATGCAATTCTTGTAATTAAATTAAAATAAGTTTTATTATATTATTTTTATACAATTTGTGGTTAAAAATCATGAATGTAATTCATAGAATTGAAGCCAGCTATGTTGTTTTTGTTATTTTATTCATACATGTATTGACTGTGTTATTATTATTATAAATAATGAAAATAATAATATATTTTCAATGTTAGCCGAGACGACAGGCGCTGACAGGTGTGTGCGTGTAATAGACATACACTGTGTATGTATTATATGAGAGACTGAGTGCAAGACAAACGTCCAGTTTTAATGTTGTCTTTACTGCAATGTCTATTGTATTTGCTATAACAGTGCATAATAGACATTGCAGTAAAGACAACATTAAAACTGGACGTTTGTCTTGCACTCAGTCTCTCATATTGTTATGTTGAATACATTTTTACCATATTTTTGTAAAATTGTAAAATATTAATACAATTTATTAGATTTATAATAAAAATATTTCATATTTATCTCTAGATGAATTAAATATGAATAATGATAAATATTCTTGCTTAATTGAGTAGAATAAAATCAAATTAACCATGATAAATTATTTTTATACATTACGTTCATTGCTATATTTAAAATACTCGTTTAAAATCCATTTTAAGCCTTTTTTCTACTCAAATAAATCTCTTTTGAAAAGTGTTGTTGAATTGAATGGCATTTTAATCATCATGAAAACAGTGTGAATAATGTAATTTTAATGTACACTATACAACATTATATAGTGAACGCCTTTTAACTGACACAATGTAATGCTAAAAATATATTTTTTATGTAGAAAAAACCAGATTTATCATATGATAAATACATGTGAATACAGTAAAAAAAAACCTGCTTGCTGCGCTTAATACATATTGCCACATACCTGGGCATTACGTGTGCACATTTATATATGCGCCCAACCATTATGGTTTTTATTATAGTTGCTAAGTGCTTTTCAATAGTGTTGCACCATACAGGGCATAAATATATTTACAATTAATAATTATATTTATGGCACTTCATTTGTTCGGTCAAGCCGTTTGCATGATTAACGAGAGTAGACTGTAGTCATATAGCATGTGATAGTGTAAAAAAACCTATCATTGCATTGACATACCATTGCATCTGCTTTTGTTATGTCAATTGAATGGCACTAAAAACTACTATTCATGAGAAAAATTACATTTTAGATTTTTGTAAATTCATTTCAATTGCATTATTTCGCTGTAATCTCTCTCTCTCTCTCTCTCTCTCTCTCTCTCTCACTCTCTCACACACACACACACTCACTCTCGACCCTCTGGGCTATTGATTACACAATTGTATCGCAAATAAATGTATTATTATAATATAATCTTCATTGAATAGACCGATGTTTTTCTCAGACATACAATACATATTAAAGTCATGTTTTTAAAAATTATGAGCATGTTTAAAATTAATGACATTTATGGTATAAAAATAAGCTTAAATTTTTAGTCTAGGGGTAGACTATGGTAGTAGACGTATTGTAGATAGTATCACCATGATTAATTTTGAATAATTTATATATTATATATTACGTTATCACATATTTGATTGCAAAGTTTTATAACTTTGTTATTATTGTTTAATACAAAGTACTTTGTGACTAAATATAGCCCTTATTTTCAGTGATAATTAAATAATGTAAACAATTTTTGTGTTACACAAAACCGTATGGAATTTGAATACTATTATCCGTTTTATAAACAATATATAACAGTATATATTGTGTACGAAAAGTTTGATAATAAATTATTATTTATTAAGCACTTATTTATCATGCTCAATATTACTGATATACATATTTATTTTCTCTCTCTCTCTCTCTCTCTCTCTCTCTCTCTCTCTCGTGTTTAGTCAATAACAATAATTTTCCAGACAATTACGACATTAATAAGTACTCTATAACGGGAGTACACTGTAGTAATTCATACACACCATACGTACGTGAAATGTAAATTGCAATCAAAATAAACATTGATTCACGAAAAATGCATTGCAATTCATAATTGTAACAAATATTTTCTAACCTAATCTAACATTTCATAAAACCCATGGGTTTTCACATATTGTGTTCATTACAGAGAGGTTTGACTATAATTGACGTAAAATTATTTGTAATTTAATGTAATTTTAATCCATTTATTAAGTTTTAACTAAATGTATATGTATTTAATGGTCAGTATAAATGTTATTAGCGTGAGCAAAATAATATTATCTTGATTAAATTAGTTTATTGGTCTATATTTCTACTGTACAGTACACTAATGATGTTTTCTATGTGTACACTATACACATCCATGTTAATGATGCTGAGATTTAATTTGGTACAAGTAATTACAAAATTGTAATTAAAAATACAACTAAAATTATCATTTTAATTCGCAAATTGCTGTACAATAGCTATAATCATAACGTAAACACACTATGTATTAATAATTAACTATTAAGTTTGACAGACAATACAGTGTATCCAAATATAGTGTACTGTATATACAGTATACACTATATAAGGGTATTTACGTACCAACTAAAAAAATACCCACCAAATCAACTAGATGTATTTATTAATAGATATGTTTTTTGCAGTTTAATAAATATATGGTAACCCAAAAAATACATATCCAATATAATTATATACGACTAGTTATAGACTGACTGAATGTATAATAAAAATTTACGGCATATTTATTATGGATTAACGAAAATAAAAGTAATTTTTTTATAAATATATTTTAAAGATCATCGATAAGGAGAGAGAGAGAGAGAGAGAGTCAAAAACCTGATTTAAACGTGTCATATAATTGTTTGTATTTATACAATCAAACATCGTTATTATTACCCAAATTTGTTTTAATATAAATTATAATTATAAAAACTAACTAGGTGTTTAAAATGATTTTTAATAATTATAATAAATATAGTTAAAAACAATGTATAATGTATTACATAGAGAAATTGTAACAAAACAATCTTGTTAACTATACCGAGGGTACACTAAACAGCGCCAAATTGTGTATAAATATAACTAAATAATATTAGACAGGGCTAGAAATGGGTCATAAGTAAGAAAAAACACATTTATATATAAATATATACAATACATAACTGGATATATATCTATTCATATGTATGTATAAACCACGGGTGAGCTAATACTTTGCCAGTGCCAGGGGGTGGGGGTCAGCACCGGGTATATCATTAAACGAGAGTGAATTTAGTTGGAGAGAGAGAGAGAGAGAGAGAGAGAGAGAGAGATCATTTAATAATATAGTATAACAAATAAATAAAACATTTCACTAATTATATAACGTATTGTATATTAAATAATACAATGCATTTCACTAGCGATTTGTCTTAACAAAACTTTTATAGCTCTCTCTCTCTCTCTCTCTCTCTCTCTCTCTCTCTTACATAATAATACATAATATGCATAATAATCTATACCATGATGTGTTGCGAGGGCTAGTTTTGTATTTTGCTCTAGCGCTAAATATCCCCCTCATATACTGTATAATGTATTATTAAGATTATATTTATAAATTTAATCATGTTTCTTTACATTCACTCTCCGTTATTGTGTGTATTTTTATTTTTGTTTTATTTATGTGTTTTTATTTTTCACGTAACAATTTGTGAGAAAATACTTTTCCTTTTGTTATGAGTATATAATGTATGCATTGATAACAATAACTGTATTAATAATACCGTTAAAGTGTATTGTATTGTGTATTAAAAGTGTTATACTATATGTTAAAAACAAAACCATCAATAAGAGAGAGAGAGAGAGAGAGAGAGAGAGAGAGAGTTTGTAAGAAAGTTATTTTAGGGCCAATGATTTGCTAACCGAGAGTGAAATTGTATTTTTTTTTGGTCAAATGGTAATTAAATAGTAATTATGAAAAATCTATCATCATTAATAAATAGTCCATGAAGTTTTATTTTGTTCACTATAGAGAGTATTACATACACCAATCATTATGTTATAAACTTACAATGTACGATTTTAGCAAATAAAATTGCATTTAAATGTGTATTTTAATTTATACATGTCCCAAAATATACCCACCTTATTATTAATATATAAATTTAATCAATTATCACTAGTTAGTTAGCTCTCTCTCTCTCTCTCTCTCTCTAACAACAGATATAACTATCAGATAATCTAAAAAGGGTTACAGAAATGAAAGTTAGAATAAAAATAACTTTTTCTCAAATAGAAAACATTTTCAAAGACTTATATGTCTTTAAAATGGAGTAAATTTTTATTTTATTATTAATTTTTTGAAATGTTTTTTGTTTAATATTTTGTTGTATACTATTTGTAGTGTTTTTACCATATTTATTGTCCTTATCTACATTGTTAACAATATTATTGTTTTATTTGTTTGTTTTATTAATTGAATTATTTTGTTATTTTTGTAATTATTTTTATTTTGTTATTAAATGGAAAAAATGAAATAAATTTTATTTCAATAGTAATGCAAACAAATGTAATATTATTTTTAATTATAAATACAACGATTGGTGTTAAAAAATTTATGGTTAGTTATAATTTACCAAAAGTAAAATTATTACATTAACAAATAAAAATAATAAATAAGCAAGCTATTTTAATATAAAGCTTTATCTAGTGTTTTAATCTCAATTGAAAACACACTATCTATTAATCGATAAATTGTTTTCAATGTAGCGCCAAATGTATCGCCAGTTTTGCCAACAAAATAAAAATACATTAAATTTTTATAACAAAACTTTACTAAAAATAATACATTATATAAAATAGTTTATTATTTTTATTTATTATATAATACTTAACGGTAAATATTAAAACATATAAAAATAAAATGAAATAGCACGATTAAAAATATTCCAATGTTTATAATGATAATACACTTTTATTTATA